ATCAATAAAACCAGAAGCTGGTTCTTTGACAGAATTAACAAAATTGATAAACCCCTGGCCAGTCTGATCAAAGAGAAAAAGGAAAAGACCCAAATAAATAAAATCAAGAATGAAAGTATGCGCCAATAAAATGGGCAATCTGGAAGAAATGGACAATTCCTAGAAACATATAAACTACCTAAACTGAAACATGAAGAAATAGAAGATTTGAACAGACCCATAACCAGTAAAGAAATCTAATTAGCAATCAAAAATCTTCCAAAAAACAAGAGTCCAGGTCCAGATGGCTTTCCAGGGGAATTCTGCCAAACATTTAAAGAAGAGTTAACACCTATTCTCTTGAAGCTCTTTCAAAAAATAGAAATGGAAGGAAGACTTCCAAACTTTCTATGAAGCCAGAACCTTGATTCCAAAACCAAAGACCCCACTAAAAAGGAGAACTATAGACCAATTTCCCTGATGAACATGAATGCAAAAATCCTCAACAAGATATTTGCCAACCGGATCCAACAATACATTTAAAAAATTATGCACCACGACCAAGTGGGATTTACACCTGGGATGCAGGGCTGGTTCAATATCTACAAATCAATCAACCTGATTCATCACATCAATAAAAGAAAGTAAAAGAACCACATGATCCTCTCAATACATGCAGAGAAAGCATTTGACAAAATACAGAATCCTTTCTTGATAAAAACTCTAAAGAAAGTAGGGATATAAGGATGATACCTTGAGATCTATGTGAGCTATATGTGAAAGACCCAACACTAATATCATCATCAATGGGGAAAAACTGAGAGCTTCCCCCCCAAGGTCAGGGACAAGACAGGGATGTCCACTCTCACCACGTTATTCCACATAGTATTGGAAGTCTTAGCCTCTGCAATCAGACAACACAAAGAAATAAAAGTCACCCAAATCAGCCTGGATGAAGTCAAACTTTCTTGTTTCTGTCTCAAAACAATCCTAAAATTTGTATGGAACCAGAAAAGACCCTGAATAGCCAAAGCAATCTTGAAAAAGAAAACCAAAGCAGGAGGCATCACAATACTGAACTTCAAGCTGTATTATAAAGCTGTAATCATGAAGTACAGTATGGTACTGGCGCAAGAACAGACACTCAGATCAATGCAACAGAATAGAAAACCCAGAAATGGACTCACAAACGTGTGGCCAACTAATCTTTGACAAAGCAGGAAAGAGTATCCAATGAAATAAAGACAGTCTCTTCAGCAAGTGCTGCTGGGAAAACTGGACAGCAACATGCAGAAAAATGAATCTGGACCACTTTCTTACACCATACACAAAAATAAACCAAAACAGGATGAAAGACCTAAATGTAAGAGAGGAAGCCATCAAAATCCTCAAGGAGAAAGCAATAAAAACCTCTTTGACCTTGGCTGCAGCAACTTCTTACTCAACACGTCTCTGGAGCCAAGGGAAACAAAAGCAAAAATCAACTATTGGGACCTCCTCAAAATAAAAAGCTTCTGCACAGCGAAGGAAACAATCAGCAAAACTAAAAGGAAACCGACAGAATGGGAGAAGATATTTGCAAACGACATATCAGATAAAGGGTTAGTATCCAAAGTCTATAGAGAACTTATCAAACTCAACACCCAAAAAACAAATAATCCAGTAAAGAAATGGGCAAAAGACATGAATAGACACTTCTCCAAAGAAGACATCCAGATAGCCGACTGACACATGAAAAAATTCTCAACATCACTCATCATCAGGGAAATACAAATCAAAACCACAAGCAAATACCACCTCACACCTGTCAGAATGACTAACATTAACAATTCAGGCAACAACAGATGTTGGCGAGAATGCAGAGAAAGAGGATCTCTTTTGCGTTATTGGTGGGAATGCAAGCTGGTGCAGCC